AGGTACACGATATGTGACACAGGTTACTGTAAGCTTGCATGTATCCTGTGAGTTCTACCTAAGGTCCTATGTATAGACCCCTACGCTACCTTCCAGTGAGGCTAATTCGTCGTTCGTCATTCACCGGCCAGCCTGTATGCCGTGGTGTTGATGTTGGTGGTGATGTTGATGTTGATGTTGATGTTTACGTTATGGAACGCTAGAATGAGATCGGGAACTACCTACCTACCTGCTGCCTGACATGTCTGCTTGTCCTGTCTGCGTAGAACCAAACGGGGTTCTTACCTAGGTTGACAATAACCGTCTGGTTAACAACAAACCGTTAATCATTTACAGACATGGAAGGGGACTTTTGGTCCATGGGAGTTGAGCATTGGGGATATTGGAGTTTGTCGTTGTCTTCGTCGTTGTCGATGCGGATATGCTTCACTTTCAGCGAGGCCCGGTTAGTTTTGTCCGATCCGGTCCGGCCTGCCGCCATGTCCACAAAAAGTCCACGAAAAAGTTCATGGGACATGTGCGCCCTGGTACATGAACCGAGAGAGTGTGAGCCAAATTACTTGCTTGTTCAGATACGCCAGCTCGGCTGCCATGACTTGTGTGATCTCGGATAGGTACCTTCCTATTGAAAGGCTTTCGAGCAAAAAAGAAATAGAAGTACAAACCCAAAAATTGCGAGCGCAACAACCTTCAACGCCAACACACGAAGTCCGTCTTTTTGTCCGCTCATAAATGGCCTGGACAGCAACGCACAGTGAACCGTATATTGGGGGCACTGAAAAGAAGAAGAGCGGCTACTCTTTGATTTCGCGGATGAATGAATGCCCTTGCAGTCAGATGATCGTGGGACGAAGAAGGGAACAGATTGTTCCCGACGAATGGAAAAAAAAAAAGGAAGTAAAAAAAAAAGAGAGCGCGCTGGGACGAGTGCCCGGGGAGAAGAATACAACTGGAAGGTACGACCGAGGCGGAGTGGCGTGAGTGCCTGGAAAGTGTAAGCTTCCATCACCATGTGAGAGGGAAAGCGCGATGCTGTCACAGCCCACAGTCCACAGCCCACAGCCCACGGTGGTCGGGTGCGGTTGAAGAAAGAGCTACCTACCTCTAGGTAGGTAGTACGCATGCCCCCCGCTTCTTTTCAACACAGAACTTAGAAGACAAGAGACTTGGGACCGAGCCTCGTCATTGTCAAAGCCAAACCACCGGCTCGTTGTTCATTCAGCTCAGTTCGTCACGAACAGCATGATGGGCATGACGGGCGTGACAGATAGCAAAGAAACGGAATGGGTTACAATAGCACCGTACGCCGTATAACGTAAACGACCTTGAGTGGGTATTGATTAGATTTTGCATACCCACGTAACGGCGAGAACGGGAAAACAAAGCAGTGAGCCGTCTTGGTTATCTTGGGCGCCTTGGGTACGGAAGTGCGGAAGGGTTTCAAGTGCCGGTATAACCGGCCTGTCTGTCTGTCTACTTCCCTCTCCGAGACTGTTTTATCGATGAAGGCGGCTGAGGGTTGTCAATCACGAGAAACCACCTAGTCTACGTTTCCGGTACTGACGTCGGAGGATATGTATGCTAGTGCACTAACTCGTTATGGTGAAGTAGATTGCCATACTTGTTAGTGGTACCGTATATCCTTTCTCGGACCGTTCATTAACTTCGCTCTTCACATACGTAGACAGCTCGGACCTCATACACGGCCGAACGTTGATGAAAGGGTTCATCCTCATCTTTCTTCCTCGCCTGGCTATCCCGTTCTTACTTACCACCCTCGTTTTCACGTCTCTTCTTGAAAGGAAGTGAGTGGGAGTGGAGGGAGGAGTAGCCGGTAGTAGAAGGCTATGATACCCTGCCTATCTCGTCAGAATGGACCTGGATGGCCAGGTCAGCCAGTGATAGACATTGCTTCCCTGCCATACCTCTAAGTATCGACCAACCGGAGGTTCTTACCTACCTCTATCTCCTGACGCTGCAAATCCTGTCACGCCATGTCTACGAGATATCGCTGAACACCGACCGTTGTTCCAAAAAAAAAAAAAAAAAAAAAGAAGACAAACCAGTGAGAGGGTACACAATTCGGCACCGCTCCCTTACTGGGCATTGCCGACGAGACGGTCCTTTGATTACCTTATGTGAGATACATCAACAAAACACTAAACGTCCACGGGGCAAGTACATGAGCTGATGTGATAAAATCGTGATGTCGAACGCCAACAACGTAGATGATGCTAATGCCTAAACCCATAACATTCCCAATACCCAAGTTCCTAACAGCAGACCAATGCTATTCCACACCTTTTATTCTTCTCGACGTCGGTAGTAGAGTAGGAGGCGTTCCGAACAACCAGAACCACCTGCAGGGTGCAACTACTGCATCATCTCTTCTTCCATCTCCAACGGCTGATCAACTTCAAAAACAAACTCGACGCCGGCCTTCTCGAATAGCTCCCCCACATTTTTGAACATCTCCTCCACACACGGGTTGCCCTTGTCTTCAACCGGTATCCAAGTAGGTAAAGTTTTGATAAAGAACCTCACCCGTTTCAGCCTATGCATCTTGTTCTCGTCGTGCCGACCGGGCTTAGCGTTCCTTCCCGCTACAGAAGCAAGTGCTTTGAACATATCCAGCACCGTCTCCCTGTATTCCTTCTTTTCCGCGTAATGCTTTTCCTTTTGCTCGTCGGACCAGCGATAGAACGTGTCGAAATCGTCGAGGCCCTCCCACCACCAATCTTCTAGTGTTAGTTCGACCAGGTTGGGCGGTAACAAGTCCACTACTGGCCGTTGCTGCATCATCGTTTCGCCGGCTGGTAGGTCTCCGTACAGCATGACGAGTTGGAGGCATAGCTTTTCGACCTCTTTTAGTTGTGGGAGGGTGGAGAGCCGTCCGCCGACGCCGATGCTGGCTTCGGAGCCTTGGCAGTCGAACCAGTTGAGATCCAGATGCTTCAGCTTGTTGCCGTATTTTTCGAGAGCTTGGTCTAGGCAATCGTGGTCTGCTTGGGTGGCGTCCTGCGGCGGTATCCTGTGGAAGCTGTCCACACGTCGGGGGAGCATGTAGAGCGTCTCAAGGTCTGGCGCATGTCTGAGTAACCTGCCAATGTTGCGCGGGTCGGCGACGGAGGAGTGGAGGTAGACGTGCTTGGTGTGGCTCAAAGGAGAGGAGGTGGGTCTGGTTATGGCGATGATATCCGTTAGGTCTTCCTCGTTCTCTAGGAAGGTAAACAGGCCGTCGTCGGTGGATACTTCGAGGGTGGTAAGAGCGGGGAGAAGCTCGAACATAGGGTGATAGTGGCGGATTTGGACACCAAAGACCTCGGGAGGGTCACCATCCAAGTCGTCTTCGCCGTCGAGTGTGGTAGGGTCCTCGACTGATGGGTCACCCTGGAGGAGCAGAGTGGTGAGGTGCTGGAAGGGGGTGAGAGCCTTGTTTTCGACCCGGTCGGGGATCATAGTCTTGATATCTTCTGGCAGGATGTCGAGGTAGCGACGGCACTTTTCACCCTCAGCTGTGTCAAAGTAGGACATTGTGATTCTCAAACAGCTCAGCAGTTCGAAATAATCGCGATCATCCTCAATCGCAGGTAGCTGAAGCAGCAGTGTCTCGAGTGAAGGCAGGGCGGAGATGGTCATGCCGAATATTCCCTGGGGCATCTCATAGTAGTCTTCTGGGTTGGTGCTAGCAAGCCGCATTTGTAGACTCTCGAGATAGCCAGTGACAAAAGCCAGCCCTTTGCCTTCCCGCCATGTTGGTAGCAGCTTGTTGAGACAGCGCTTTGTCTTGCGAACTACTCGCCTGTTGGTCAAGGTGATGTGACAACTGAGGGAGCGGGTCCAACCACAGTACTTTGGAGTCTCGGTGATGGTGCGAAAGAGCAGCACCAGGACCTCTTCACTAGTGATAGCGATGGTGTGATAGAGATATGGGCGAGCAAGGTCGGCGAAGGAGTGGGAGACGAGACAGAGGTTGCGCAAGGCGCTGCGACGGCGGGTGTAGTCGTACCATGGGTCTTCGCGGACAAGCTTGTCGTATGCTTCTGGAGCTGGCTCGCCTATCTCAGGCAGGATGGGTATGAGATGATCGAGAATCTGGTTGACTAGTTCGGACGGAAGATGATCCATGATGGATTTCGTCTTGGGTGAGGCAGGGTTTTCCAGCCGCCGGTGAGGATCAGATTCTGTGTCGGCCATGTCGGATGCCTTGCGCTTCTTGACTGAGCCGGGTGATGTTGACATGACTGGTTCGGGTAATGGGTTGTTGGTCTCGAGTGAATAGCTGGTAATGAAGAAGGCTGAATGTGGCCGCGAAAGTTCAAGTGTTATTGTTGAGTTGTGCAAGACGTCAAGTCCAAAGTTGCCCGATATTTGTGACAGCGATATCGATAAGGACCCGCCGGATGAGAGGGTGCCGTTCAACGGGTGACCGAAAAGTGTAAAGAAGGGTGTCGGTGGAGTGAGCGAAGAAGCCGAGCTCAAAAAAGAGGTGGTCCACCAAGAGCGCACGAAAGGGAGGAGGATGTTGATATGTACAGCGATGGTGAGAATGATGATGATGATGATGGTGATGGCGATGGGTGTGAAAGTAAACACAAGAATTCATGCAATGAATGGCGGGGCAGCAAACAAAAAGTGGAGATTGACAAGGTACGTACCTCTAGCCCACGGTGCTTGCCTGCCGGGAGTGTCACTGATGCCACAGCACAAGTATCACAGTCATGGCTTTGCCGGTAGGCAAATCCCCAATCGTGGCCCGTGCTGCAGCACTCGCTCCTTCATCGGTGACAATCAGGCAGCGACCGTCCGCGATATTTGACCACATTTGACATGAAGGAGCGACCGTAGGAGGAGAGATTTTATTTGGCCACTTCCGCCGTTTGAAAATCCTGTGCTCGTTTTCTCTCTAGACATCACATTTTCCCTCTCATCAGCTCCCCGCAGTCGCATTTCCGGACGAGTGCAGTTTCTGGACAAGCCCGACAAGTCCATCATCTTTAATTGATTGGCCAACCTATCTCATTTCCACGGTCTTTGCAAAACTACCCCGGAAAGACGCAGTGTCTGACAGCCTGGAGCGTCGTGCCAGTGAGGTCTTGACGCTTTTATCTGTTCGAACCTCCTGTGTGATGGACATGTTGAAGCCGTCAGTTACAGTACACGGATTTGCTCTTCTTCTCGTACATTGTCTAAGAAGGGACATGATTGCTGACATTAATGCTGCAGTCCTGTCACCAAGGCGGCAGCCATGGGGACGCTTTCACGGCAGCTCGTTGAACAATGGCTTGCATCCATAACAAAGCGAAAGGGAGACCCAAGTGGGTTTGATGAACAGGGCATCCAATCAGGGGCTTTGTGTACATCTCCATCTCAACAATCCAACTCAGAGCCTCCAGACTTCACGTACGCTCACCGAAATTGACATCACATCACCTGGCGGTCAATTCTTGGGATATGAGAATTATATTCTTCAGGGATATCTCATCTTACGAACACAAACCACATACCTACCTTTGTCTAAACCATACCATCATCACATCTTATGTTCCCCTTCTCTTCATATTCGCCTTCCTTCCGCTGCCTGTGTTTGACCATCTCCCTGCTCACCTCCTCCACCATCACCTTGGCTCTCCTAGCTCCCCCTCCTCCTCTTAGCATCTCGTTGCCGCTGCTGTTTTTCCTGCATCGCTCACACCATGCAAAACTGGTCCACTGGGCTTCCGAGGCCGGGGAAATCCCACGTGTCCATCACATCCCTCGGCCGTACACCAGCCGCGCTCAAAGTTGAGTTCACGGATGGCGATATGGAGAGCTGAGCATCTCTCACATTTGTTCTTGTTCTTTGCGGCTGGCGGCCTTCTAGGGTTTTTGCAAGTACCGCAGTATTGCCCTTTCGGAAGATCTCCTGGCGACTCGGGGAACGTTCTATTCTGCACAGCCCAAATTGCAAGGACTTCCGCAACCGTGGCTCTGGGTGGGAGATTCCCGGGGCCGAAATTTTTCGCTGCAATTTGTGCACGAATTTGCGCAATCGCTGCGGGTGGGATGCCCCCGGCGGGTGGATTGATGCTCTGGGGTTGCTGGGGAGCCTGCATGTTGTTGTGGACGGTTCCGTTGTTGGCGGTGCCGACGTGAGGAGCATTTTGAGGAGCAGCGGGAGCAGCGGAAGGACCGACATCTTCATCATTACCCAGCATCATATGATCCCCAGCATCGCTGGAAGGATCACGAGCAGGAAGAGGAACACTAGCCGACGGACCATCCACAAAGGGATCATGAAGAGACGAAGGCCCATCAGGAAGATGACGACGCTTCTCCAAAATCACACGTGGACGTTTGCTCATCTCGCCGGCTTCATCCACTTCCTCGTCACCACGTCGGCGCTTGGATTTTCTCGTAGGAGACATGGCCGTGGACCCTGGAAGCCGGCTGTCAATGTCCCAAAGCACGGCTTGTGAATTGACGGTGTAGTCAATCCCATCCTGACCTTCCAGCTCCGGGTCAGGCCCGTTCGGCGTTAATGGTCCAGGACCATCCCCCGCTTGTTGGAGCTGTTCGGTTTGCGTCCAAGCCCTCATAATCTTCACAATATCGCCCCCCGGGGAGGAACCACGAAACTGAACCACCTCGCCAGATAGTCCAGCACCCTTACCTCCACACTCCTGTCACCTCGACACCCATTGCATACCGGCGCCCAAGGCGTCCTGAACCCGACGTCCAAAGCAGCAGTTTCACTCCCACCCCGCGTCACAAACCTATTCTTCTTATCGTCATACCGGCAAGTGCACCACTGACCTTGGTCGTACAGGATCCAGCCTTGCACAAATCCGCACCCATCAGTCAGGTACGAGGTCAAGTAGTCCGGATTTTCGAGGTAGACTCCCACAAGGTTGGCCACACCCTTTGGATTTGCGTGTAGTGTCACATAATCCTGCTGAGTAGGTCTGTACCAGATCTGTCTCTCCGAGTTGGGGATGACGAATCCTACCGTGGGAGGAGTGGCACGAAGGAAGTGGAAGAGCTTATGGACCGTCAGGACACCGGGTGTTGGGTTTGGAAGCTCGTCAGGAAGATAATCGGGGAGGTCGTCGGGCAGGTTGTCGAGAGTATTTTTGAGACTTTTCAACAGGGCGTCAACGTCAACCGGGCTGGGTTGGACGTTGTTATCTTGTCCGGGAGCAACGGACTGGTTGGGAGGCGTAGAAGGGGGCTCTTGGGCACCTTGGACCCCTTCCGGGAGCTTAAGCGCTTTCTCCACCTCTTTGATGTTGGCTGCAACACGCTGCAGGACCTCACGGGGTATACGGGGTTGAGATGGCGGTGGTTTCGGACGGGAGGGAGTGATGTTGTACAGGTTGTTCAACGCCAGGGCGAACGCCGGATCTACCGGGTCTAAGTCCATCGCGTCGTCATTGTTCGAGTAATATGAGCCGATTTGTTTGGTCGCGCCGAGGATGGAACGGACGTCATCGGGCTTCATAGTGCTTGTTTGGGGTTCAACGGGTAGGACTTGCTAGGGTTTTCAGTTGCTGTCACTGACCAAGACGAGGCTGGGGACGTTGGTTTCCAGACTGCTTGCTTGCTGTTTCTTTCCGGGGTTCTTGCTCTCTCGTTCTGGGTTTGTCGTTCAGAACAGTCTTCTTCTTTCTGAGTTCACGCCCAAAAGCTCTGCTAATATTCACTGAACAGAAACAGAAACAAAACAGGAGTCGCATCATATTGCGGTTGGCCCATGGTCGCTAGCCCAGGTACTTATCCCAGCCCGTCTTCACGATGAAGAGAATGGATCCAAAGATAGTACAGTCAACCTGTGAAAGCGATCCTGCCAAAGGGAACAATGGATTCCGTTGAGTGTTCACCCTCCGCCCGCTCGGCAATCGCCTCTTTGTCCTCGACTCCCAGGCAAGCTTGCATACCTCTAGCAAGTACAATCTCATTGTCTGCTATACCCCGTCCTCATTGTCTTCCTTTGTTTCCATGACCTTCCTAATTTCTGCCTCCATTATGCTTGGGGCCGAAGAGATTGACCGAAGAAGTACAATGTTCTTTGTTCAAGTAGGTGATCAAAGACGTGAGACTCTTGAAGTCGAGGTACGGAGAGGGCCAGCACGCGTGTTGTTACAGCTTCGGGCTGCTTACGGAGGTGCTGGGTCTTCCACTTGTGCTATGCTGAAGTAGGTAGCTGTGCTCTACTGGCTAGGTAGATGCTCTATGTGGCTGGACTGAGCCGTGGAGGGTAACAGCGAGTGGATGACAAGAGATAGGATATTTGGATGGCACATCGTGACGGACTGACGGGGAGAGAGTAATGGTCGGACTTGCAGAGCGACTGTGAGTGGTGAGGGGACTCGAATTAGTCAGAGACTCGGGAGTGGCAGACCTAGACCGGAAGGAGGATATCTGGATATCTAGAGTGGGACATCGAAATTCAGGAATTCAGGAGTGACCGACCGGGATTGGGAGACTGGGAGACCTGGAAGGAAACCTAACATCGGGGGTGATGTATCGGAATCTGCCGTCAATCTGGCAGACTACTTTATAACTAAACGCCGGAAGTAGGAGATCGGGAAGTGCCCGGTACACCGGGACTGGGTACACTCCGCGAGGGGACGGGAAGGAGCATGGAAATTATTCATTTGATCATCGGAAGGATAACACCTTGGATCTTTGACTGTTCAAAAATATCACGGGTTTATCCATTTCTCACTAGCTAGCAAGACAGACTGCCATCTCTAGATTTTCTCCTTCGCGTTTGTTTGCCCAGACTACAGACCAGCTCTCCTTTTCGTCGAGAATGACATGGACTAATAAGATCATGAAAACGCATGGAGGTAGAAAAGGTAGATAATATGGCGGAAGAAGCTACGCGCGCATGATATTTGTCTTGGAAGGAAATCTCTGCGGCTCTGGTGAAGACAGGGACTCTGACTCTGACTCTGGTGGGGCGGACGAGAGACAGATGATGGATGATGGATGAACCGGGCGGTAGGTACTAATTCTCTTCTGTTAAGAATAAGAGCTTGTTGCAATTGCCGTGACGCTGTCTAGAAGACACTCCCTCCGTCCTTCCCCCTTCTTCAATTTCTACAGCCCCTTCCCCTTCCCCTTAGCATACCTCACCCTCCCCTTTGCTCTACACTCCACACACGTCAACTTGTCATCGTTATCCCTCTCTCTTCCACAAGTTGTACACAGTCCTTCTTCTTCTCGTTGCTGGCGGAGAGACTTTCGCCGGAAAGAGCAGCCGACACAAGTCATCTTGCCGGGAAGGCAGGGTTGCGGGTTGTTTTTGTTGTGGCAGCGGGTGCAGGATGCTGCTGTTGGTTTTGGGTTGGAGCCAATTTAGAAAGTGGAGGAGGAAGAGGAGGAGGAGGAGGAGGAGAAGCAGGTGATGGTGATGGAAGAGGATCGGGGATGAGAGCGGGAATGGGATTGGGGGTTGGAGCGTGGATTGGCGGAAAGGGGGAGGTAGCGGGCGGAAGTACAGGGGTTAGATCAAAAGTCGGTGACGCTGGTGTTGCGGTTTGAGGACATGGTTGACTGGGTTGTCGACGCGATCGCGTGGGACGTGGCGGGATAGGAGGAACGCGATTCTTGAAAGATGAAGCTGGAAGAGCCTGTGCCGAGAATGGTACTGGAAGTGCGGCAGGCTGTAATGAAAAGCCTAGCTGAGAAGCTATCAAATCCAAGCGGTCGCGAGCTGGAAGCTCTGGGTGGAACCGAAGATCCCGTGAGTTACCTTCAGCAACATCGACTTGGTTTCCGATGCGCAACGGGTCCTCGGCCTTTTCGATGCTGGTGGATGCTGGTGCCGGGACGGGACACGGGAAAGAAGAATCCTATTCCTTGACTTGGGTTTCGTCTCCGTCCTGGGCAGCAGAGGACTCCAAGTGTTCAAACGGGTAGTTACTTGCTGGTTTGTCATCGTGAAGCTCACCAGTCCCTACTTTGTTGGGCGCCGCTGCTAACTGCCAAAGGTCTGGCTCGAATACGGCATTAGAGTAGCCTGTCTGGCCAAATATTTGCTCTGGCGGCGGAGGGTGACAATCCCCAAGACCATGAGCTGCACAATCAGGAGATGATAGGAAAGTAGGTTCCGTTGTTTGGCCCCCCGTAAACAAAGAGTCAGAAGTTGTATCTGGGCTGAACAGATTCTCGTCCAACACCTCCAAGCCGTTGGTGTGTTCTATCTGCCCCACGTTCTCCACGTTCACCTCGAAAGTCACATCTGAATTGCAGAGATGCTCATCCAACAAGTCCAGGCCTCCGGTATGTTCTGTCTGTTGCGCGTCCTCTATTCTTGCTTCAGAAGTCCCATTTGGATTGAGAAACTGCTCACCGAACCCCTTCACGACACCGATGTCTTCTGCCTGAAGCTCCACAGTTGGCGCATCAGGCTCGGAGGATATCGGCAGATTTTCATCAAGCAACCACGGCGCAGGATCATAAGGCTGTAGTCCGAGCAAGGGATCTTGAGGGTAATCCCACGCGGGGTTGGCGAAAAGATCTTCGAATGACATGCTCATCCAGTCCTGGTACTCCCATTCCCCTATATGGTTTGGGTCTGCGGGGTTGGTATACTCGGTAGCTGGGTCTAGAGGCACAGCGGTAGGGTTCGCTTCTCCATCGTAGCTCTCGCTGTTTGGAACATTTGTCTCGGGACCAGGGTCATCATCCAGTTGGAACCCGAGTGCAAGAAGCATTTCCCTCTCCTCATTGATGAGCGTACGATGGTCCCTATTCGGCTCGGCGGTGTCGAGATTAGCCGTGAAGAAATTGGCTGGATCGTCAAGGTTATTCAGGCCCCAGATACCGACAATGGTAGTCTCGTCATTGATGCGCTGTCGCTTGTAGATTTGACTATCGTCGATCGCGTTATCCTGGTCAGAGTCGTCATGTTGGCGCTTCGTGCCTCTGACAGGACCAGTCGACAACGCTGTCTCTGTTGCGCCCGGCTCGTCGTTGGATATGTCCATGATCAGTTATGCGTCGCGTTCGGTGTAAGTCTGGCCCGTCGAGGATGAGCTCGCGGAGAAGTAAAAACTGCATTGCGGGTAAACGTAGAGAGATCTGCTTGGGCAAGGGTTGTTAGCTGCGCGTCCAAGAGAAGGCGAAAAGGGCAGGCAATCTCTCGAACTATCCATCGCCTGGACTCTCAAGTTTTTGCAGAGATAGACAATGAGAGAGATATGGCTTCGAGTGTTCGCGATTCGTCGCGCTGGGCAGGTGCGTGTGTCGGCGAGTTGCTGGATGTGTGTGGAATCACCGGGTGTCATCGAGAGTCATGTCGTGAAGATTAAGGACGAAGACGCACCTTTGAGTGTGCGGTTCTTATACTTCTTGGCCATCGCGGCCGTATCTTCAGCATCGAATGGTTGCGCTCGTTTGGACTGCGAAGTCTTGGTTCGGGGAGAAGGCCGATTCATTGCGAAGTTCCAACGGCCAAAAGAATCGCTCAATAACGCGCTGAGCAAAAGCGGATTGCTTGCACATCTGCTCAAGCTGTTCAGGGCAAAATAAACGGCCCTTTTGTTAGCACAATGGCCGTCATCCATGTACCGTTCATGACGCGGGTAATCTCGCTGCCACCATTGCCGTCGTCGAAAGGGGAAGTGGAACAGCAAGAAATCGGGGGAAGACTTGACGTGCCAGACCGATTTGGAAACAAATGCTCATGGAAGAGCGAGAAAGGGAAAGACTTTTCAAGATCTTCTATTGGCAGCGAGGAGTCAAGTGCATCCGAACTGCATCTGAGATGCGTATGCGTCATGCGAGGGGCACTGCAGTTGAGGAGAGTTCTGACCTCCCCCTCCCGTGACGCGTCGCGTCTAGATGTGGTCGCGTTCAACCCACCGTTTTTGCCAAAAGTATAAACTCGCTGGTCATCTTCTTCCAGTCTTTTCTCGCGTCGGCGGAAAGATGCCGGAGGACATATGTGTTGGAATGGTTGCGCTGGTTCTGGAGGATGCAAGAGGGCTACCGATGCTGGGGGGAGAATTTGAACTTTGTCCCAACAAAGAAAATGAAAGAGACAAAATACTCCATCAACAAGCGAAAGCTTTGCAGAAATCAAGTGACCTACATGTTCTTTGGAGGATGGCGGACGAAATTTCTCTGGGTGTCCGAGGTACATCTGAGCGACATCTAAGCGACATCTGAGCGGGAGCTGATACGATACTGACTGGCTTGGGAGTCGCGACTGGTCAACGTGCCCGATCAAGCGTGTCTCAAGTGAACTTCCATTTTTCAAATTGTTGGTAGTATCTTGCCTACTACCCGCGCATTCTATCGTTCCCGTGGTAGATGCCCTCGTGAAACCGAGAGAAACTAGAATGCCGTTAGCGTAGGTTTTTTGAATCGAAGCTTAGCGTGATGAACCGCGAAGGAAGCTTCGGGTGGGAGAACGCGGAGGCGTTGCACCGAAACAGAGAGCGAGGTGGAACATGCCTTTTCACAAGATACTCCCTCCGTGAGCAGTCCGGTTCCTACGCAGTTCTTGTTGTCGTCGGCCCGCTCGCTGCCTGTTCGAGAAATACACGTCCCCATCCTCATCTGTAATCTTTGCGTGAGTGTATCTTACCGCGACAGGTACAGTACGATGCAAGGCCAGTTGTTTGTGAGTGTCCGACATCAGAATTCGTACAAAGCCGGTACCGGCCATCCCGGCCGCAAGAGCAAAGAACAAGGCAAGGGCGATCGAAAGAAGGACTGCCCTCATGGATTGACTCAATGTGCGAACGCGGCAGGAAAAAACGTCTGCAGTCGCCGATCGACATTGCGATGCAGTTCCTTCCCATAATCGACAGGCGGAAACAGGACGGGAACCAGCAATGAAAGATCCTCGCCATCGTAGCTTCTCGCTCTCCACTACATATCTCCGCAGTATGGTGATGTTGGCAAGAGGTGGGTTAGGCCCCTCCTTCCCCGTTAACTCTTGCGCTTTCACCATCTGGGTTTCCTTTCCCCTTTCCTTCCGCCTTTTATCGGTCATCATGTCTATTATGACTGGCCCCAATCCCCACCTTGCCCACGGACCCGGATCCCGTTTCTCGGTCCCGGTCCCGGTCCTGGTCCCGACTGGACGGAGTCACACCATCGCCTCCCGGCGTCACCGAGGCTTTTGCTCTTTCCCAATCTACACCAAAAACATCGGTTTCAGGTGCCGGTCGAGATACCTATCGCGCTGTTGGGTTGCATGATCCAAGCCAGAACCGATCTTCAGACGTAAAACATTTGCTTGCTGCCGTAGGCTCGTTGTAACATCCTGTCGCCTAACTGCCATTGTCACTTCTCACGCCAAACGGTTGAAGCAAGCCGGCTCTGTTTTCGTTTGTTTAGGCGCAAGGTGAGACGAACAATGAAAGGCAAACATACAATGCGCCGCAGACAAAGAAGGTTTGTGTCCAGCATGACTCTTTTGCTGGATTGGATGGCTGGGCGCGTTCTGATGCTTTTGAGCTACGAAAAAGATGCCATAAACAGCGGATGAGGTGTTTAAAGGCGGGAACACAACAAAAAAACGAGAGAGTAAGAGGACTCTTTTGTTGGAAGAGAAACTAGCGAGGAGCAAAGAGATTCCCCCCCAAGCGAGGCATATCACATCTTCCATGCAGCCAGTAAAAGCTTCTTTCGACCCCGTCACAGTTCCCAGGCAACGCCTGCACTTGCTCCAAACCGTTTATGGACAATCAGAACAGCCTTTCCCCGACAACGTGAAGAAGAAATTGCTCGGCTCTGATCAAGGAGTCGCAGTAGCCTCACAAGGTGCCGTATACGTAAAAGTTCCCCAACCAGTGGTGCACTGCATGCACGGCGTGCTCGTCGGGCAAAGGGTGACGGTCGTCACCGTGATCGGCACAGATGAGCAGCCGCAAGACTTAGTTACGGCAGCTAAAGGCGAGGAAGTCAAAGTTAGTCAGCCGATACAGAGATAAGCTTGCCAGAATGGGACGTTTTGTCGCCGAGAACACGGCTCACCGTCGTAAATGCAGAAAGCGCTCGTGTCGCAAGAGAGATCACATCCGCTGGTGGCCCATTTTGTCTGGGTGCCCGTAAAAGTGCAGGACGGCGCGATGGTTGTGATTGACGGAGCGGTGGTGGTTGTAGCAGCTTGACAGGGACCGGCGGAGACGGTGCTGTTCAAAAGTGTTAGCTCATCGGCGAAGCAGTCAAAGAAGAAGGAGAAACACACCTCAAGACCGTTAGGAGAAAGGCGAGTTGGACCTTCATGGTGATTGCCGTAAGAGTTTGAATAGTGATGATATTCACGGAGAGGAGAGTGAGTGTCATGAGCACAAGCCTGATGACAACATCCGGGGCGGGTTTGTGTGCTCTTAAGTCTTAACCATTCCCCTCGCGCATACGAAGGATTGCCCCTTCCATCCTTCCCGGTTAACTGAAGTGGAAGGTCCAACACAAGTTGGTGCCTGGAGGCCATCCAGTGCATGTGAACCCCTCAGCTGAAAGTGTGATCGAGCAGATCGGGAGATGCGAGAGGACGGATACGGATACGACGGGAATGGGATGGCAACGCCGAGCCGTAAAGGGAATCACATTTTCTCCGACGGTGTATGTGGCCAATGTTTCGACGGACGGAATACAACGCTGGCTTACGGGTAGCATCTGATAGTCTCGTATTCTGTAAGCAGCTGTTTGGATATGGACAAGCGCCAAGATTGTGGGCAAAGTGTGGTACATACAACCAACCAACACACACTGTGTTTACCGTAACACAGCGGTAACTGGCAATGTCATGCAAATGCCAACAATAGGGATTCCTACTTTGTGTGGTAAAGTACCTTCAACAAAGCACATTGGTCTTGATATTGCAAACAGCGACGTGGATCGACATTTGCGGTTTGACAACTGTCTGCTGTTCAAGATCGAAAGGGTGATGTAGTTGGCAATAAAAGGAACGTTGTGTACTATGGGGCAGTCATCCGTTCATGCCAGTTACTCATTCATGACTCTTTTCTGCGACAAGAAGCGAAGGTAAGGGAGCAAAACCTACCAGCTTGCAACAATTGAACCCTGTCAAGATGTCTAAACGGGCCTCTACTCAGACCCCCCAAGCTGGTGGCCTGGGTAAAGGCAAGGGCAGCAAAGGCCTATCAAATGTTGAACACTACACTCGTCCACCCGGTTGGCGGAAGCCGCAATGTCCTCGATGCGCATACCGGGCTGCCATGGTGGGAAGGATTTTCCGGAAATGTCTTCCCTCGGGCGATGCTGCCCTTATAAGAGCCTTCGAAATCATCGGAGAGCTTGCATGTACAGCCCCGGTCGGACAGGAACAAAGCGGGACCCAGTGTGACTGCTGTCGTACCCAAGATCGCGGTGTCGAGTTCCACTACCCGCCTGGGAGAGGCTTTGAAGAATCGAGCCACAGAGTATGGAAGAGTATGGTTGAATTCGCTGGCCACTGTATCACTTTGGATGCGAAGCCCGGCTTGTGGGAAACTGGACTCATAGAAGTTGAGGAAGCATCCAGAGACTTCTTGGATCGATGGAATGATGTCCATAAGCAATACGGCAAAGATCTGTTGCAGATGAGCCCTCAAGAGTTGAAGGATATGGGATGCACATCCGTTGTATCCTACAACAGCGCCGGGAACCCCGTGGAAGCAACTGCAACATCATCAGCCGGACCCCGTGTTGGTCTGGATGGTGTCCTGGACGAAGTTAAAAACATGGAAAACGGCCTCAAACAGCTTATTATCGAATTTCGGAAACATGCCGAGAACACGAAGACGGAAGTCGAGGTCATCAACGACACTATGGGAGTGCTGGAAGCTGACTTTGCGAAACTACAAATTCAGGACAGGGAGGCCGCCAGTATGTCGGATGGTCAATCGGAGAAACTCATGAAGGAGATCAAGGAGTTGGCGCAGTTTGTCCACGCCCAGGGTAAAGTGCTCTCGGCGGTGAAGATTCAGGTAGACCGGCTTGCTATCAAATTCAGCCAAGTACTGTCTGCGGCGGCCCCGAACACGGCGAGTACTAGCGAGGAAGAGAGCGAGTAGGTTGGCGATGTTCAATCGGAGGAGGGAGAGCAGCTTCATGTCTACCGCAGGATCCACGCGCGGAGTTCGTGGAATGCGGTGTCGTCGTCGAAGATGGATGGTCAACGCGAAAGACTAGGGAGGAAATGGTCAACAAGCACCAGAAGAAACAATGGGGCGTTGAACTTGAGTCGTGGAAAAGGAACACGACGGAGTTCAATGGAGGGTTCTTGACGCCATGTAGATAGCTGATCGGCAAATGAAAACATGATGAACATTGGATTCCGTAGACACGTAAGACGGGGTGTGAAGGTGCAACTGTTGAAAGTAAGGAGAAAATGTCCGTCGAGCCACGCACCAAGCCGGTTGGCGGGGGATAAGAGATTCCCCGCCGACATCGGGAAAGTCTCGGTCGCGCCTTCGCTCACATGACCGTTGATAGATGCAGCTTCCCGTAGAAGTCGCGTCATTTCAGCGTCTGGCATATGCACCTTCCCGTCAACTGCGGAATGTAGAGAGAACGGAGGGAAGATACCACAGCGCGTCGGAAAGTACCTCGCAGGTAGTGTTGTGCTCCTTTTGCTAAACTTTCTTCTGTAAACATCTTCAAACCTTTCTGCTTTCTTCTTGCTCGAAGCCTCAAGTGCTCCGCAGCTCTCATGGTTAAGACCATCAAGACGAGGAACTGTGAATCCGGAATTTACGGTACTGGACACGTCTGCCGCCATACTCATCGCGTTTCATTTGGCATAATTCGATCACACAGACAGCAGGGAAGAACGACTATATATGCCCTGCAGCAGCCATCACGCAATTGCATCGAAGACGGGAAGAAGGAGCGAGTTGTTTAAGGTACCGGATCGCGGCTGGGATTGGACAAAGCACAGTTCGAAACAAGCAGGCAAGTTGGACCCATATTGAAAACCATTCTTGGGCGCTTTCATCGTATCCTTCATACAAGACTTTAACATAACAGCCCGCAGCGGGGCAAGCCGATGGTGAACATCTCCCTTACCCAAAGATCATCAGCTTTTGACCGCTCATCGGCATGATCACAAACGCGAATCACCATCTAGTCATATCTTTCTCCACGGCAACTCGTCACGCCACGACCGTTATCAAACATGCGAATGTGGCAGTTCATACCAAGAACCATCCCGGAGATCAGTTTTTGACGTCATGGGTTTGATCAATAGGGCCATCAATACAGTATTGCCTCAAACAATGTGTCTCCTGGCCCTGTTCTCTTCTCTTGTGAAGACATCAACCGATTCTTGCTACCTTGCCTTGACAAGCTTGCTTACAGATTTCCCTCGCTCCGCCTAGGAAACCCGTTATTACTCAACCTGGGGTACCCTATACCGCAACAACGAGATGAACGCACCGGCAAGTACATGTATCAAATATTGCAGTCTCCCAACTCGCGACTACAAGCCAGCCCACACTTGCTTTACCCACCTTCCTCAACAATAGACCAACTCTCGAAAGAGAACTGACCCGTGACCCATGGATCGAGGTGCTTGGGGATTGAATAAGAGCAGCACATGTGGAGAACATAGCAGGGTAACGAAACTGTACCAAACCGTATCTCCAATTTCCTGAGATGTGCCAAGCCATCGTCGCTAACACTTCTTCAACGTCATTGCAGCTGCCGAGTTAACCCTACCCCAAACCGGCCAAGCCAAGAAATCAGCATCATGACATTTCACCATATACCCAAGATGTCTTGTGCACAACCCGACGAGCGAACTATCCGCATCTTTGAGCAAGAATAACATTGAAATGCCCTCGCCGAAACAATGTTGAATCTGACATGAGATGCCATCAGATCGGTTCTACAAGCTATACATCACCTTCGAAGCTGATGATGGCTGGACAGGTCTTCCATTTCGATCAACCGTTATTAGCTTCCTTTACACAATGTGTAGCACGTGTAAGATCGCACCAGCTCGAGTTGATAATACAAGGAGACTGGATGTGGCAGAGATGGAAGAAGCTCAAGTCTTGGAAACAGAAAGCTACGCCAAAGAAGAGCAGAGGGCGGTGTTCATTCAAGGCGACCACCCCGGCCAAGTGTGACTTGGCTCGGTCTACGAGGAAGACGGCAAGTCTGCCAATTAATGAATTCCTCGACCTCCCCCCCGAGCTCCTGGTTGCCAGGGAATTACCATCTGAGATTCCAACATTGGGAGACTTGGTTTCCGCCCTGTCAACCTTCTCCTCCAACATTGCTACATTGGCGCCGAAGTCTATGGGCCCACCCACGAGCGCGAGCAAGTGCTTAATTCTCCAGTATAGGGGTTCTTGGCAACGCTGCGAAGAGCAATACCGCTACTGGTCTTTGACACACACGAGATCATCCGGCGGACCAGCACCGGGTAATCAGTTCTCGTTTTCACATCACGGTAACTTTGGTGGTCAAGCGATTTCAGTTCGTGGTCTTCCTTTTCCTCGTCCTCCTTGCTCTTATGATGGCCCATTAGGTCTCGTGCCAGTCAGGTTCCGTTTGCCATTCAATATTTTCTCCCATACCAGATGTCAATTGAAGTCTCCATCCACGCAGCCGTGGTACGTGGATGCGGAACGGTATTTCGGTGACGGTGACGACACCAGTGCAATGCCGAAGATACAGTCGAATCTCAATCATATGGCTTGGCACACGTTCACAGTCAAAGAAAAGAGAACAAAGAATGACGACCAGGAACTGGATTGGGGTTATGCAACTAGTGTCTTAATGACCTTTGTTCAATAAGCCGGGCTTTCTGCGAGGCTTTCTTGGTACCCCCTCGACGCTTATGTCCAGCTTCAATGGTTACGCCTGTTCTTGAGTTGCTCGACCCAAGCGGCAGTCCAAGTCCGCTTCAAGTAACACCCGCCTTCACGTCGAGCCGCGAAGCCTGATGTTTCACAGCATTTCCTTGCGTTTGAAAACTGGTCGTGTTGATAAAATCTGTCCACCAAACGGCTAGGTGTCGGCACAACTGCGGAGGCGACAGTGTTGGTCTTAGGCTCTATGACAAGTGTAGTGACCGGAACGCCGACTGAAGCAATTATGGTGATGGTTTGGCTTGCACAGGATGGGATGGAAACGCACAACTTAGGTTTTCCGGCATGAACGTGGAAGCCTCAGAAGCGGTCTGCGGTTGAAGCTAGTCGAGATGTGCCATGATGTTATCGGCAACGGTCAGCGTGGTGTTGAGGTACCACGATATGTTTTACGTGACAAAAAAGCATTTGATTGCTTCCTAAAGGCTATAATTAATGGTCGATGTTGGATATCTTAGGTGGATACCCTCGCCGGATCATATCACGATTGACACAACACATCATCACGATGATTTGGAACTACAATCACAAATGGTGATACACATTGGAACGACAGGTTTATTAACTGTTTATTCTAGTATGGATAAATAGCTGCATTTATCTAGGGGGGAAGTTAGAGTGTACGATGAAGAGCCCCGGTCCACGGTCCAAATGTCGATTCGTGTCAGCTATCAAGTTCTTTCCCTAACCCATCTCAACCTTCAATCCCCTGACACGAAGCCCCCTACTTCTTCTGGGGTTTCTTCTGGACTCTGCCACCCAAGGTGCCACCAGTCGCAGCCTGGCCCTTCTTAGACAGACGGTAGTCCTTGGACGCCTGTCTGCAATTAGCGTACACGGTGTTCGCAGCCGGAACAACGCGGCAGTACTTGCCTGAGCAAGTATACTCGCCCCTGGCGAGGCGTTCCGCGACCAAGGCCCGGGTGGCCATGCTCATGTAAAAGGCGAGGTGGGCGGAACAACGGCGGGCCTCGGGTTGCTAGCCCAAAGCACCACACGCAAGACCGTTTCCAAGAACTTTGTCGCAAGTGGAAATGACAATGAGGGGGGGGGTCTAGCAGCGGGAATTGGGGCCCGCCGTAGAAGCCAGGGTCGGGACGGGAACCGGGCCGGTGTTGGTAGTAGGGGAAGTGCGAAAAGCGTTAGCAGCAACCGGGGCTGCGATGGGAGCCTGTGCTGTAGCCAAACCGGGGACTGGAATGGGCAGAGAAGTGAAAGAGCCGTTGGTGGCGTCAGCAGCCGCAACCAGGGTGGAAATGTTGGAGGCGTTACGAGCCGAAGCCGCGATGGAAATGTTGAAGGCGTTACCATCCGGGGCCGCGATGGGAGCCGGAGCTAAAACCTGGTCGGGGACCAGATTGCGCAGGGCATGGAATGAAAAGGCCTGCTCGAATGGATTCATCTCCTCCAAGCCGATGTTAACGGGGACGACGTCGAAGTAGGCACCGTCGGTGATGGAAAGAGTAGCGTCGTGGAATTCTGAGAATTCGTCGGCATCAGAACTGGCAGACTGGATGAAGGCGGTCCAGGTCGCCTGATTATCCAAGGCTACCTCGGTACGCTGCAACATGCGCTCAACGGCGGTGTAGATAGCAATGTTGTAGTCGGCGATCAGATGATGGTTGGAGTTGCGATCAGCTTTGCCGCTGCTCAGGTGGTTGGCGCTATCAGCTTGGGAGCTCAGAAGCTGCGATGATTGTGTTAGGTCCTCTTACCGCGTGGGTTCGTTACTCGTGGTGAGTTTCCTGGAGGAAATCACACAGATGCGGACTTGAGGTAGAGAAAAAAGAAAGAAAAAAAAGAGAAGAGAGAAAAAGAAGGCAGAGGGCGGTTTGTGCGATTTATGCGTGTTCCGTGCGGCTCGGATCAACAGATTCAGGGTCAGTGAATCCTCCTCGGTCTTTTCTTGCAACAATAACTCTTCGCTATTCAATTCCTATTGTTTCATTCTGTGGTCGCTAGCGTCCCAGTTCCTACCTGAGATCGGATGGAAGTTCGTTACCCACTTCTGCCGGTGAAATGGCGACCCTGTTATGGAAGCTTTCGGCGACTTGGGGGTGCACAGCTTGTTCTATAACAGCGCTGGCATTTGGGCGCGTGCAACACCATGGACTCAGGACTTTTTTTCTGCCTCCTACTGTCGTTACCATCCTCCGCGTCTTGTTCTCGAAAGACCATAATTCTTCAAACTCCAGGGGCGATGGTGCCCTGCGCGCCGGCGGCGCCGCTTGCCTGAAGCTAGAGGCGGGCCTCCCTCTGCGCCTGGCGACAGTCGCGGCTCCTCTATCTGCAGTCGTCACAGGCAGTGTTGGGCGTGGCAACCACGCGGCAGAAGCGACCTGAGCAGGTCCACTTGGCTCGCAAGAGACTAACTGGCATGAGTGTCTCGCTTTGGCTGATCAGACATCCCTGACCGCCATCGCCGGAAGCCTGCTCGGGTGCAAGACGACAACGCTTGTTGACGCCTTTGGCTTTGGCCTAGCGCCTGTCTCGGCTGGCATCCAGGCGTAGCAGTCGCTGTGTGTACCTTCGCCATGGTAATTGTTGTCTGTTCAGTTTGTTATGTGACGGTAAGTTGGGTATCTTACGGTACAGGATGTAGGTATATAGAAGTAGTACGCTTGACATGTTAACAGGGTGTCGCTTTCCCAAGGGCTGGTGGTCACAGAGTAAAAGGGAGTATAATAACTGCAGCAAGTGAAAAGACGAATGGGATTCAGTGTAGGTAGGATAGGTAAAGGTTCCCTAGCCAGAGGAGCATCTATTTGGGAAGGTCAAACAGATGGGAGCTATCTACTATGAAGGATCTCGAGATGAAGGTTAGCCACCCATATTCCCGTCACCGTATCCGGCCGTCTTTCCATTATCGATATCCCTCTCTCTAGTACCACCTCGTAACCGAAGGCCCAGTTCATCTTTCCACCCTTCTAGACTGCACCAGACATCGCACCGCCCGCAGGGAGGGCGCCCTGGGCGCCGCTGGCCTGCAGAAGGGCCTCCCTCTGCGCCTGGCGGTATTCACGGCTCCGCTGTCTGCACTCGGCGCAAACAGTGTTGGGAGTTGCAACTATGCGGCAGAAGCGACCGGAGCAGGTCCACTCGCCTCTCATGAGGCGCTCCTGGACCAAGGCGCGCTTGGCAAAGCTCATGTATGGAAGGACATGGTCGAAGCAGCGGCGCATGCCGGGCTGCTAGGCCGGCAGGCCACAGACTTCACCATGGATCATCTTCTTACATGTCGAGATGTCGATGAATCCAGCGTTGGCAACGGCAGTTGCGATGGGGTTGATGTTCGCAACCGGAACCGGGCCATGGATGGCCGGAGCAGCAAGAGGCTGCATAGCAGGCTCAGGGTGCGGGTCGGCATGATTGAAGTTGATGTTAGGGTGGTCCTGGGCGTGATTGACGTGATGATGGTTATCGCCGACGTCCAGGTTGGCCGGGTCGTCAAATGATGCGTTGTCGTTGACGGCCATGTTGGCTTGGTTGATGAGGTGGTTGTTATCGCTGAGGTCCAAGTTGGCCTGGTTGATGTGATGATGATTTTCGCCCTGGTCGCTAGCACCAGCGACGAACATGGTAGGATGGTGATTGCTAGCCATGGTTGTTTGGTCGGGTCAACTCCTACAGAGATAATTGCCATCAATACACCTGAGGGGCCTTTGGGGAGTTAAATCGCTCCAAGAAAGGTACCTACTGGTGCCTAAGGGGGTGGCTACAAAAATGTGTGACGGCGAGCGTGACGGAGGAAAGAGTCAAGATGTGTTCCAGGGCAAGGAGCATGCCAGTTATATGTGTGCCGTACGGCGCAAATGAAAAGCATCAGGCGGAGTGAAGGTAATTAACATTTTGTACTATTTATTATCTCCCCATTCAACTCCTACTCTTCTGTTGTGTGGTCGGCGCGTCGTTAGCGTCCCCGTCTGTGATGAGATGGAAGCTCAAAACACCACTTTTTCAGAACAACTCGTCAACAAGCTGGATGACCGGCCAAGTCCGAATTGCTGGGAATTGCCAGGCAGTTGATGTGTAGCTATGGGACGTTATGATTGTAGAAGAGCTGGGAACGATTCCACGTAACAAGAAGTTCCTCACTCACAGGATGATGACCAAAGAAACCCGAGTCCTTCTTTATATACGCTAGACTCGCAAATGAGATACTATGACCCGTCAATTCGGCGTGACAATTTCCTCGATGTATGCTATGTGTCCAGCACCATTCGTTGTTTTGAGCCTTCTGTATACGGGAATCCCTCCGGGTACCATGCCTTCACCTTTTGTCACACGGACATTTGCCCA